AAAAAGCCTTGCATGTTTTGCTGTAAGTCGTCCCCTTCTCTTGTTGCCGTATATGATGCCAGCAGTGCTAAAACTCAAAAACGCTGAATGTGCGGACACTATCAAAACCAGAAGTACCTGAACAGCCTTTCGCTGTCTACGGATGTACAAGGCGCGACGAGGTATGTGACTGCTGATGATGCCAACAAGGGGTATTGGGTTTGTGAGAGCGCCATCATTGAACTGGGTCTGCGTCAGGACTTGGTCGTGCATCTCCTCGGTTCAATTGTATGGTGTACTGCTGTAACTCCATCTAAACATTGGAATTATTGAGTGACATTGAGCAGCAACTGAGTACCTGGAGATCCTCCTGCTGCATTAGTGAGCTTCTTGAAGGAGTGCTGGCGGTGCTTTGTGATGTTAGTAAAGACCACATGTCCGAGCCTTTTGGGGTAGAAGACCTTTCGTAGCTTTCATCGTCAGAGTCCACCAGATCGAGAGAATTGCCTAAACCTAAGCATTCTTTGTTTCGTAAATTGCAAAGTAGTTTCTGCAACTTACTTTTACATGCCAAGAAGTGGTCGGCAGTTTCTCGCCATTCATCCCTGTTCAACACGGTATCCAAAAACGCAAATCTGGGATCGCAAAGTGCGGCAAAACGCAGTGGCTGACTGATGAAAAATTTTGCAAAGTATTCCTTTGTGCTCCCCAACAGTTTCTCTCCAAATTGCAGTCCTTCCCTTCGAGCAGCTGCTAGGTTCCTGGAGGTGCTGCACAATTAGACAATAAAACATGAGAAGGTATCAAAACCCACTCCTCAGTTTTCGCAATCAAGAGTTTCCCCACAGGAATGAATATCGAACAGCAAGAGGTTTGGTAGCAGACCTGCATTGCAGAGATTAGACCGATCTTAGAAGACATCATGTTGCTACCTGAGAAGTCATCGCTTGGAACGGCTGTAGGAATATTCTCATTGCCTTCAGTATTCGGATTTCCCCATCTTCGAATGGCAGCATGTCACAAACTGACAGTAATCTTTCGACTGCTGGCATCTTGTAAAGAAAACAATGCGACTGAAGGAAACAATGCTACCAGAATTTACTAACTGCGGCTAGGAAGTCACACAGCATGAAGTATGTGCTAGACCATCTGGTCGGTGCATCATTCATTGGCACAACATTTGGGAGGTTTTCTTCGTTCAGAAACCTAAGAAGGAATGTCCAAGGAGACCTGAGCGATATCTGGAGAAACTACTTTTGAACATTTTTTTCAACTTCCCGCTCTTATTTAGCTTAGACACCACATGTTTCACTTTCTTAAGAACATGCGCGCACATTGGAAGAGTGAGGGCTGCCGTTACAGATAAGTTGATGACGTGAGCACAACAGTGTATGCTGAATCATGGCACAATTGCAGATGGTAATGGGAAGAAAAGCGACTTACTAATGTATCCCAAGGTTGGATGCTGTTTTTACCATAACTGATGCTCCATCAGCAATTATGAAAGACACTCGCTCTTTGGCGATTCCGAGTCTAGATAAACTCTCCAATATTTTCGACTCTACCAACTCGCTCGTGTGGCTGAACTAGCAAATGACTAGAAACCCTTAACTACCCAAAAAAAGTACCTATCCTCCTCAAGCGGAACTCTCCAATAGTCTAGCACCACGTTGATTCTAATATGTTTCTATGGACCTTCTATAGAGTACACTGACATCTTGTCGATAAAATGTCGAGGCTAATTTAGTTAAACTCCCGCAGCTAATATTCAGTTGAAAAGCATCGATTTGTAAAAGAAGGATTTGTTGAGATCAAACTGCGTGAAGTCAATTATTCTGCCGAAAAAACTAAACCAGCTAAAAAAACTGTTCTCGATGAGTTCACAGTTATGAG